CGCCGCCGCCGCTCCCACCACGGATGCTTCTCATGTCACATGACGACACAGGAAACACGGGCACTGACACGGACGCAGCCAGATGGCCATTGATGGGCGACATAGGGCCCTCGCGGGTCCGCAGCCCCGGCAGCTCCTGTTGCCGCTGCTGCTGCTGTCGCGTTTCATGGTGGTTATGGTAGTTATGGTCGTTGTCGTAGCCATTCTGGTAGGTGTACGGCTGCTGGCCCCCCGGCGATCCCGGGGCGTCCTCCAGCAATACATCCAGAGAACTTCCCTCCTCCAGTGTGGCAGCGGCGCCCGTACCAACCGTCCCCGCCGCGGCCGTTCCCGCGGCGGCGACGGTTATTGTAGCCGTTGCGGCAGTTGATTCAGTTACATTAAGGCTGCTGCGCTCCAGGTAATGCACTTCCCGAGAGTCAAAGTCGGGCTGCCGTACATGCTGGTACTGCTGGTGGTGGTAATGCTGGTGGAGCTCCTCTCCCTGCCCATGCTGCAACAGCAGCTGCGGCTGGCAGTGTTGCTGTTGTAACCGCTGCTGGTATGGCCCCTGTTCCGGCCCGTTTAGCGGCATTAGCGGCGGCGGCATGGAACCATGAAGGTGCTGCTGGTGGTGCTGGTGGTGCTGGTGATCTGGGGGGGGCTGCTGCTGCTGCTGCTGGCCGGCGCTACACCTCGTAACGCCGTCAGTGAGCCCCAGTGTGAAGAGGCAGCCGCGGGCCACCTCCCGCACCAGGTCCAAACTCGACTGGCGGGCGGCACGGATGGCCTCCAACAGGGCTGTGTGTTGTACGTACGTACGTATGTATGGTTGTATGTACGCATGCGTGTTGAGGTGCGGAAGGGGGGGGGAAATCAAAGTTGCACGACACAAACGGTCAACTGCTGAAATGTAATGTTCAGGGGTGGGGGAAGGGGGGCGGGGATGTAGGGGGGAGGTACGAGAGGACGCGCGTCCGTAAAAGCAGGAGGTAGGGGGCATAGGCGGTTAACTGTCGTACGTTACTGTGGGGCGCCAAGTAGGTGCGTCTCGCACTTACACACATCATGAACCCCTGACACTTCAACTCAATGCCAAGACACAAAGAGAACAACTCGCCCACTGCCGGCCATTTCCCCCTCCCCTCAAACCCCAATCCCCCCAGCCCATACACGCACACACACGCACACACACAAAACACACACACACACACACACACACACACACACAAAACACACACACACACAAACACAGCAGCGACAGTGCCCACCTGGGTTCGCGAGGATTTGCTGACGGGCCGGCTCGTAAAAAGCCTGTGCATGTGTGGTAAGCGGAAGTTAGTTAGTTCAGACAGTTGTTAGTTGACTTTTTATAACTGTTAACGAACAAAGGGCCCCCTTCCCCTTCCCCTCCTTTCCCTAACCTGGTTTCCTTTCCTCCGCTTCTCCACTCCCTCCCCCCTTAACTCACCAGGTTCCACAACGCCTCTACGCAGTACTTGACTGTGATGGCCTTCCGGTTGTGCTCTTCGCTCAGCAGCACGTCCGCCAGCACCTCCACACCGCCCTCCCGGGTCAGGATCTGCTTGTTGTCCTCGTTGGCACTCAGACGCGCCAGTGCCTGACACACCTGCCCACAGAGAGAGAGGCATGGACAGCGAAAACATACATACGTACATACATACATACATACATACATACATACGAGCACACAGGCAGGCAGATCGACAGATAGACAAACGGACGGACACACAGACAGACAGACAGGCGATAGATAGATAGATAGGTAATAAAGGGGGGGGGAGAGCAAAACGCCCTTGCTTTTCCAGGTGAGATGTACGGCACAGCTGAATGTCGTACGCGTACGTCACACGGCTGGACAACGAAAACCCCAAGATAAAGACGTCAGGCATAGCCGCTTTTTTTAGTGAGCCAACAACAAGAATCTTGAAAACAGGACCGCTAAACCAACTACCACTTCATACTTAAAACCCAATACAACAAAGAGATTGTTTGCTCCATCTGGCTGGTAACCGCAACTTACACACCCTTCATACAAAACCCTAAAACCCTAATCACCAGCAGATCAAGCAAATAAACAGAACCATCATGCAGCAAGGGTGGACGCCTGCCACGCTAGCCCAAGAGAACCTCCTTTAGCAAAACAACCAAAGAAACCGAACCCAAACACGTCCCCTAAGGACTCCAGACACCCCGCAGAAGACAGCCCAAACGTTATTTAATTGTGCTGCTTAACTCTTTCCCAGTTAACTCACTTTCCCAACACCAAAACAGCGTGTATTTTACCATTCTTGAAGCAGCACCAATGCACATTCCCAACAACAAAAGTACACAACACCATTTCCCCCCCAAAAAACATTCCATTCTAGAACATTCTAGAAGCAGCGGCGGCGGGCCCCCACACCTTCCAGCAAGTCCAGAAGTATCCGTGGCACATGACCTTTGACCGCGAGCAGGCCAGCACCATGAGCATCTCCCGAATGCCGGACTCGTCCATTCGCATCAGCGGGTGCTGCTCCTCGTGGCCCACCAGCAACGCCACAGCCATCGTTGCGTTTATGCGGCGGTAAGAGTCGGGCTCCCGCTGCATCACCGTCGCCAGTTCCAGCGCCGCGCCCGCGGACAACAGCCCCGGGTGGTTTGCGATCTGGGTGTCAATGGGGAACAGGAAGAAGAAGAAAAAGAGGGGGTCATAATTAAAAGGGGACGTAAGATGCAGTTTTTTTGCGAGTCGGTTCGGTTAATGGATAATGGAAAGGACCGGACAAAGGGTGTGCTTAGCGATTATTTTAGTGTTCTGGATTATTGGTGGATGAGAAAGAAAGATGTGTGTCGTAACCAACATACCCAACGTCGTCCCATCCCAAGCCAAAAAATACTTCCCGCCCAGCCATAACAGTGGACATGGCCGGGGCCACCCATTTGAAGGCCCTTTCCACCTCACCCCCCCCCCTAACCCCACCCCGATATCCGCCTACCTGGTGGCATAGGTTTCGGAGCGCCACTGCCGCACAAGCCGCCATGGACTGCTGCTCCTGAGACAAGATGACTGGCGCATCAGGGTGCACCGCCGCCGCCGAAGGGGAAACCGCCGCTGCCGTACCGTCGCCACCGTCAGCCGCCGCCGCCGCCGTAGCACCACCACCGGATTGCTTTTGCCCTGGCCACGGGCGCGGCTGCTCAAGGACCAACAACACGCCTTCAGCCTCACCATCTCTGCAGCCGTCTTCACCCCCCGGCGGCTCTGCTTCGCCTTCAGCGCTGCTAACCGTAACCTGCGGCTCATCCGCCACTTGCCCAGCAGCGGCCCTGGCGGCGCAAACATCCGTCGACGGCGCGTCTTCTTCGCCGCCCAGAGTCCGCCGCCCCATATCTGCGGAAAAAGCCGCTGCTGCGTCACCTGCCGCCGCTGCCGCCGCCGCCTCGTCATCCCCCACGTGCACAACTCCCTTTCTACCGCTTCCCAGTTCCTTAAGTCTTCCCGGCAGGATATGGGCGTTACGTCGGACTTGATTTGGGTCAAGAGAACTGGTACTATCTGATGACTGGTCTTCTTGTCGGTGGTGTTGGTGGTCCCTTCGGAGCCCCCGGGGGTCATCATCATGCCCCTGCTGCCGCTCCTGCTCCTGTTGCTGCCCCTGTTGCTGCCCCTGCTGCTGCTCCTGGGTGTTGGTCTCCGTGCTCCGCGCCGCGCCGCTGTTCATCGGTCTGTTGTGGTGTTTAGACACACGTACACGTTCGGTTGGGGGTTTGGGACGGGATCGAGACGGTGCGCTGCTACCATCACCCCCCGATAACAACGTCGTAATAATCGAGCGTGTCATGTGTTTTTTAAATCAGCAAGAAAGAACACCGTGGCATCGTGCGATTGGGTTTTTTCCAGCGTTGGGAGGAGAAAGGACAGAACGCACTAAGGGAGGACGCGGTGGACGCGGGGGAAGAGGAGAGGCAGTATCTTTAGGACAGGACAGGCAGCCTAGAGCCACTTCATTCGTCTATGACGGTCGAAGAATTACCCATCAACCCCTCCATCCCCCCATCCCCCCACAGCAGCCCTCATGCTCAGCTCCTATGCTTTCCCCCCTCCCGTTTCCCCTCGACATCACTCCCCCCTTTCCCCCCCACACACAGCATGCGACTGCCGCCGTAACCGCTAACCGCTCCAACCACCAACTTGGCCCCACCTGCATAGCTGCACCAGCCTCTTCACCAGCTTCGTCCTCATGACCTGCGTGTTTTTTGTGTTTCAATGTTCCTTTTTTCAGTGTTCCTTTTGGTGCCTTTTTCAAATATACTTTTAGTGATACTTTAGAGGATTGAATAATCAATGCTCTCTTTGAGCCGCGGGGCGAGAGAAGGACCTGGCGAGGATGGCACACGAGTAAAAAAAACTTCACTTCACTTCACTTTACCTGGGAGTGTATTTCCAGGTTGAAGGCCAACAGGCTGGTCAGCAGCTGCAGGGCGGCGGCCTGAAGCGCCCCACTGGCTGTCCCGTTGCGAGCCTCGCGAACCAGAATCTGCCTCACCAGGGGACGGAGGGGGGTTGGGGGTAAGACGAACCATTAATAATTGACAGGTGGTGGTGGTGGGGGAAACCACATGATTCAAGGAAATTAAAAAAAGGCATTTCCGATGCCAAACGGCGATAACATCGGATAACTGTTCATGCGTGGGACGCAGGCAGAGGGGGGAAAGACGAACCACACACGATTGAAGCTGCTGCCAGGGCAAGAGAGTATCAAACGTAGAACTGACCGAAAGGCAGAGGGGGGAGGCGAGCGAAACTGGGCTTTGGGCTCGGCCCGGCAAAACCCGAACCTAACAAGTGACAGCATTTACGGTGAACGGATAGGTCGCCCCGAGAAACGGGGTGGCACTTTAACAATTGGTTCCCATCCATGTTGGAGCAGGGGGGATTGGAATGGGGACCAACCCAACATCCGCTGCTCCAACAGCCCGAAGTACCCCCACCTGCTCCAACAACTCTATAGCCCCCATATTCGCTAGCTGCTGTACAACGATGCGATTACGATATGCCAACAGGCGCAGCGCCTCAAGCGCCAGCGGCCGCCTCGCGACAGCCAGGTTGTACAGCTGCCTGAGGGCGCCGTTGTCACACAGCTCCGCCTGCGATGGTGGCCAGTCAATTTGCGAGAAGTTGACAACAGGGGGGATGAGCGCAAGCTGTAGACTACAGGCAAAGGAAAGGATTCGAGCTCGTAGCAGTCGACGGCAATTTGGCGGTTTGAAATGCGTTTTCCTGGGAAGCCTGCCGCAGCTATGCGGAAAGCATCGGGGAACGTGTTGGCAAATTCGTTACATGAGCGCGATGAGCGCATTTTGTGGGTGGCAATTTGGTCATGCCCGACTCGTCATCTTCGAGTCCGGATAATGCGTGTCGGCTGTACCACAGGCGCTAATGAGACACAACGAAACATCGTTATGCCGTGGCTGAAGGCCACGGGCGTTGCAGCCGCACCTGGAACTGTCGCACCGTGCTGTCCCCCCTATCAATTGCGGATGCCAGCGCATTCCGGATGGCTCGAGCGGCCTCATCGTCTTCTGACAGGCTCATGTGCTGCGAGTTCGGGGGGCTTTGCAGCCCAAGCATTCCATTCTGTGCCACATCACTAAGATGCCCGTAATTATTGTCCATAAAGCATGTAAGGGATTCAAAAACGTGTCCTAAGCTTCAAGTTATACATGAACGAAGGGCCTGGCTCTCGTTCAAGTATGTTGCCTACTAAAGCAGATGTTATATAGCCTCCATACGCGCATGCCTTGATAATATTTATGAGGGGTTAACATCACTTATGATAATCGCAGTTGCCTTTCCACTGAATTCCAGTTGGCCACCCGATCCACGCGACACGGCAATTTTACAGTCACTGTGCACGACCAGGTAAAGCAGCATACTGACTACCAGTCTATACAGGTGTATTACTTGTAAGATTACATGTTTATTGCATCAACTTGATCGGAGCATTAGGAGTCTTCTCTCCGGCAGTTCCAGCGTTCCGCCACAAGCGTACAAAGCTTTCCCAATACTGCATTATAAGCCATGCGGTATGCAGCAATTAATAAGTCTCCACTTTCACAGCGGCAACGCTGCGTGGGCTCATGGCTGGTTCCGAGCAAAAAGGCTAGGGTCCTAACGCGGCGAGCGCTGCACGTTAAGGCAATCGGGTTCGATTTCGGAGACGAGGACAGCAGTACGTCTAGAGGTGTGGCAGAGCAGGTCTCCCTGGCAGAGCAGGTCTCCCTTACCATTCCCCCCAATTCCCTCTCCCCATCCATGCACCTCACAGCGGTATTACCTCAACCGCTCACGAAGCGCCTTGTATTTTTCTCGGTTCGTCGGCCCACGCAGCAGGGCCCACCAAGCGCAGCAGCAAGATCAACAGCCTGGGCACGTTAGCATCCTCGCTTCTTGTGTACGGCCATGTAGTGAAGGGAGCAGTCGGGGAGGCCTATCTTCAGGCGCTAGCCATCACTCAGAAGTATCAGGTAGGCCGTAGATATATAGCAGGGGAGTCGAACGTTTTTTGTGCGGCGGGGGGAAAGGCGGAGGGAGAAAGCTTGGAAGGAAATTGGGGGAATAGGAATTGGGAGGTATCTTGCGCGGGGTTGGGAACCGACTCTTCCCCCACCCACCCTCATACATACAAAACTATACATACATATATGCATACATACATATATACATACATACATAGCTTGCCGTGTCTCTGTCTCCGCCTCATTCTCCCCGTCCCTCTGTCTCCGCGACTCGCCTCTTCGCCTCTTCTCCGTCTCTTCTGTCTCTCTGACCGCGACCAGGCGAGCAACAAGGAGGTCCTAGCGGCATATGCGCGCTTCTACAACCTGCTGCTGGCTTCCGGGTACGACACCTGGCAGGACTACGTATTAGACCAGGTACGGACACCCGCAGTACATGTACGACAGTGAAGTACAGAGGGCCGCAATGGGCCGCAGCCCTTTCCTGGACACTGCACCCCCAACAGATTCTGTTGGGACGAGACAACGCCTTTGCGAGGGCAGCTGCTCAGGGCGCCTTGGACGATGACGCGCCCGTACTGCGTGCCGTGGCGTACGACTTGGATGTACTGCAGGAGCTGGCGCTGCCGCTGCCGCAGGTGAACGGGGGAGCAGGGGAAGGGATGATTCGGGTCAGGAAAGGAAGGGGAAAACTGCGGACTCCTCCTCCTCTTGACCTTTGGAGGAGGAGCTAAGAAGGTTACCGCTCCGAAACCCTCACCCCCCCACCCTCATTCCCCAATAATATGTACGGCAGTAATTTCTTTACTTCTTGCATGTACCTCTTGCATGCTATATCTCTCATATTTCTTCGTCTCCCCAAATTATTGGGGATGGCAAAATGTGTTGTGTCGTCAGGTATGTCAGTCCGGTCGCCCCGGTGTGTGCACAACACGTGTTGGCACACGGGGGTTTGGCGCACGAGGGTTTGGGTTGGGGGGGGGGCTTTAGGGAATCGCATGACATGATGCGATGATAGCCAAAGAGACGTTTTTTTTCCAGCTGTGGCATTGAAGCGCGAGGGCCGGAGAGAGGTGATGTGTAGAGAGGTGATGTGGTATGCGGGGAGATATGCACTTGGGAGGTAAGACGAGCCACTGCCGAATGGAGCAGCACTTGAGCAAGGGTCACCAAAGGGGATGAAACCCCTAGGGAGAGAGATAGGGGTGTGTGTTGGTTATGGTTATGGTTATGGTATGTTCAGGGTTGCTTTAAAAGCTCGCTCGGCGTCCCCCGGGTTGAAATTCCCTCTCCCAGCTGGCCCTTCCGTGCCCCCGGACGCATTTCGGTCAGTTCTACGTTTGGTACACGCTTGCCCTGGCATCAGCTTCACTCGTGTGTGGTTCGTCTTTCCCCCCCGGAAGTGTACATCTCCCCAGTTTATCCTTGGCATCAGCTTCACTGGTTTCGTAATTCGTCTCTCCCCTCCCCCTCCCCCCCTCCCCCCCGCCACATTCATCACTCGGCTTGCTGTAGGTGGCGGAGCTGATCGCGGATGCCGCCCCCATTGGGGGTCCCTACTGGCTTGAAGCAGGTAGGGGGGTGGGGGTGAATGGAGGGGGGTTGGAGGGGGGGTAGCATGTGCGGGAGCATGTGGGTTTCAATGCGTCGTATATGGCTGAGTGGATTTTAGTCTCGATCTTGGATCCAATGTGGATCTAGGGCGGATCCATGGCGGCGAATAGGGGTATTTGGGAGAAGCTTAATGGATAGAAGATTGGTGTGTGATGCGGCTAGGGGGATGTGATATGTGGATGGGTTTTAGGTATTCACCAGCCATTCACCGAACTGATGTCCCGTACATGGGGGGTTCATGTTTCCGTACATGCGGGGTTGTGTTTCCGTACATGCCGTCGCCGTGCGTTTCGGGAGACAACCTCTGGGAGTTTTCTTCTTCCCCGTGGAAAACCCCACCCCCACCCAAACCCCAAACCCGAACCCGGAGCCGAGCACCCGAATCCCCCCGGCCCGCACAGCGCCCCCGACCGGTGACCGCCTCACGGCCTCCAGTGTCCCCACGGCCTCCAGTGCCCGCATGCTCCGGCATCCTCTTTTTGCCCGCCACCCTCTTTTGCCACAATGCGCCATTCTCCGTCATCCCCGCGACTCTCATTGTCGTACTTACATTTATCAACTTCATCACCCCAACTGCCATTTCGCAGCTGCCTCGGTGTCCGTGAAGAGCAAGAAGAAAGCCGCCGCCGCCGCGGCGGCGGCGCCCGTCGCCGCCATCGACCCGCATTCCCGGACGCCGTACATCTGCCGGCCGCCCACGGAGGCGGAGTTGGCTGCGTGGAAGGCCGCCATCAGCGGCAAGGAGTCCTGGGGGGAGGCCGTACATTTGGTACGGCAGTACTACCACCTACATGGATTTGGTATCACCTCGCGCAATTCCACTCTGAGGTGCGGGCGCGTGTCGGAGTGTCGGGGTGGGGGGGTTGGGGTGGGGGAGAGAGAGGGAGTGGGGCGGGATGACGGAAAACACAAACGGGCGCGTCCAGACCGCACACGAACGCGAACACGTTGCTTTCCCCTTCTTCTGTTTCTTCTTCTTCTTCTTCCGCCGCTGCCGCCGCTGCCGGCCCTGCCGCCGCTGTCGCTGTTGCCCCTGCCGCTGCCGCCGCCGGCCCTGGCGCCCGGTATAATTCGCCACCCCGCCCCACACCCCTCGACAACTCCCGGAACTCACGTTGCAGGTGGACCAAGGGCGCTTTTGAGGAGGGTGTCGACAGTAACACCACCACCACCACCATCACCACCACTACCAACAACAGCAGCAGCAGCAGCTCCTCCTCCCACTCCTCCCCTCCCCCCCCGCCAACTTTCCTGCCTTCCCTGGAGTCCCTGCGGGCCGCTCTAGACGCCAACACTGTACGACACTGCGAGGGTGCTGGTGTTGGTGTTGGCGGCTCCTCCGCCGCGCACCACGTGCTAGTGGTGGGGCCTACCGGCTCGGGAAAGAGCGCCTTGCTATGGGATTATACGTTGGCGGCTGGTAAGCTAATTTGAAATTTTTTTCTAAGTTTTTTCTTGTTACATTTTGAAATTTGGGTTTTTCCAATTAAAAAGCCCCGTTTATGTTGTTTTTCCTGGGCCTGCAACACCAATGGAAACGCTACTTTAACTTTAACTCGTAAACGCCCCAGTTCCAGCCCCCTCAAAGCGCCTCAAAACAGGCGTGCGGTTGGTTTGGAGTCTCAGGGTCGGTCTTCATTCCATCTTTTCTTTTAACCCCTTCCCCCGTCTTTGGCATCTTTTGCCCCCTGCAGCAGTTGACCTCTTTTGATGAGTTTATATCTCGTACATGGTTATTCCCCCCCCTCCCCCCGTCCTTCATGCATCCAAAACCACGCAACAAAATTATTTATTCCGATTTCGGAATAAATATTCCGAATATATTCCGCAAAAACAATTTGCTGCACGCAACCACGCAACGACCCGGCAGGTCGGGACAAGGGTCTTCGGTTGGTGGACGTTTCCGGAGCCGAGCTGGGGAACATTCTGGAAGCAGCCCGGGGCTGTGGCCGCTACCCGCGACTGCGGTTCGTGCTGGTGGCGGATCACGTGGAGTTGCCCGTACGGGGCGGTACGGCAGCGGCGGCGGATCTTATGAGTGGGTTGGCGGGCTCGGGTCCCAGCGGTTGGCCGAGCAATACATTGCTGGTAAGAAAGAGAAGGGAAGCTTTTTAGGGGGGAGGGTTGGGAATGTGTGAGGGTTGGGGAATGGGTTTGGTTTCGGAGCGGGGAGTTATGTAGGATATGGGTGCTAGGGAGAGCGAAAAGGAGGAAAGGTTGAGAGCTGGGATTTTGGGGGCGGTGGGGATGGGATCTATTGATGTGGGTTCGGGGGAACCTCATCGAGGGATGAAATCCTGTGAAGTGAGAGAAAGTGCGAGGTAAGAGATGAAGGAAGGAAGGAAGGAAGGAAGGAGAAAGGCTGTAAGCAGACGTCCCCTTCTTCAATAGCAAAAATTGGACTCCTAGGGAACGAGCCCTTCCCTTTTTTGCAGCAATGACGTCCGGGGGGAAGGGGGAGGGCAGGCTAGACCAAGTTACCAATAAAATGTGTGTGTGCGTGCACGCGCTTGAGGGAGGGGGTGTGAGAGAGGCTGCCGATTGGCAGTCGTTGTGTCCTAAGCGCCCGAGAGGTGTCTTGCGCGGCGACGTCCTGCTCTTCCTCCTGGCTGGTCTGTCCTTCCGTGCGCAGTACATGGGCGCCAGCAGTACATCCACAATTTCGTACGATCCGCTGGTGAGCCGTTTCGGGCTCATTTTATCGACAAAGGAGCTGTCGGAGCCGGAGTTCGGGGAGACGCTTCGGCAAGTGGCAGGGGAGGATGCGGCCAAGCTCAGCGACGAGGACGTGACTTATGCGGCAGATTGGGCGCGTAAACAGAGCGGGGGACTTTCAATTCGGAGCGCGGTGCACTATGTGCGACGGGCGCGGACAGGATAGTTTGAGCCTGAAAGCAATGATTCATAGCTCGATTGCCTCGAGCAGCGTTCGCAGGATTGCGTTTGACTTTATACGGCATGCGGAGATAATATATATGTTAAGGATAAAATATGCTTTATGATGGGTATGCCTTGTTGCATGGCCGCCTGTATGTTGGTTGATCGTGCGCAGAGGTCGTGCATGACGAAGAATCCTGCCGGAAATTTGCTCTTTTAGGGGAGGACACTCGATCAGGCATCTGCTTGCAGTTTTTTAGATTTAACAGATCAGAAGGCATACTTTGAAATCCTACCTTGCATTGCACTGAAGCACAGCAATCCATTTCGACGGGCCTGGCCCGTGACCCCGACGCGTCTGAAGCCTTAAGCGGAGAAGAGGAGCTCAACCCCCAAAACGCATAAATGGGGAACGTATTAAGTAAGCTTTTGAGGCGGCTTGCGTCCTGAAACATCGCTGGTGATGTGATTTCGTGGGGTTGTCAGGCCGCAAGAATCAACGCGGCTCCATCGCCAGGAATCTCGTTGATTATTGTAATTCTCATGCAGGTATATGTTGCCCGCGATTTCGCTCTCGCGATGCTGATGGCAAGAACGAGCCGCTTTTGGCACAGCGCGAAGGCCATCCGTCTGATGCCCCTGTCGTCCAAGAACCGCCATCTCCACGCCGAGGTGGCTCTGCACTTGAAAATAGTACTTCTCCTATAGTTACGAATGGGACCTTGCCGGAGGAGGAGGCCACCCTGCCGGCGCATGCAGCCATTGTTGAGCCTGTAATCGCCGGCCCGAGCGAAATCGCCAGAAAATCTATTCCAGACTTACTCACAGGTTCCCCTGTGCCTAGCATGGAAGCCCTTGCTGCGATAGACATCACCACAGATCGCACAGCCGCGATGGCAACGGAAACGGTTGAAGCGATGGTGGCTGCGGTTGCGGCGGCGGTTGAGGTGCCTGTACCCGCCTCTGGAGCAGAGCCTGTCATTATCGCCGCTGCTGCCCCTGCCACCCCTGTGCAAGTCCCGTACAATGTCGCCGCCGCCACCCCCACCGTCGCTGTCCCGCCATCTAGCGGCATGCTACTGCCACATATGCTGGTGATTGGCTGCACCAGCGGCGGCATCGCCAGCGTCGATGATGGTGCGGCACCTGAACGACCCGCATCGCCGCCGTTACATCCGGGGCCGCCGCGTCGCAGCACCTCGCCGCAACATCCAGCGCTTTTCGTCAAAACCCAAGAGGCCGCCTCAGGCCCCGCCGACGCCGTCGCCGACGCCTCGCCGGAGGCTGCGGCGGCGGCGGTGGCGATACCCGTGGCACTTCCCAAAATGCCTGACCTTGCTGCAGCTGCCGTACCTGCTACAGACGTCAGGGGTCTGAGCCAGGAAGCGTTAGAAAGGGCCGGAACGTCTGAGGCGGTGGCGGCGAAGGCGATGGTGACGGATGTGGCGGAGGTGACGGAGCTGACAGTGTTGACGGAGGCGACGGAGCTAGCAGAGGTGGCGATGGCGGCGGAGTCAACAGTGCCGTCGGTGGTGACGGAACCGGCGGAGGTGACGGTGCCGGCGCAAGTTGCGGAGGTGATGGAGACTGTGGAGACGACAGAGCCGGCGGAGGCGATGGAGCCGGCGGACGCGACGGAGACGGCGGAGGTGACGGAGCCGGCGGAGGTGACGGAGCCGGCGGAGGTGACGGAGCCGGCGGAGGTGACGGAGCCGGCGGAGGTGGCGGAAGTGACAGAGCCGGCGGAGGTGGCGGAGGTGACGGAGCCGGCGGAGGTGGCGGAGG